TATGAGGAGACTCGGTCCGGACGTCCATTCGACTCTATTCTCCAATGCCAGGAAATCAATTCATACGACAATCAAGGACTGTTGATGAATGGTGCCTGCCTGGAATTTGGCCTCAAGGCTAAAAATCCCTATAAAAACCCCGGACAGTTTACCCTCCTGCGTGGATTTGGGAACACCTATACCTTTGAGTATAGACCCCTGTCCACCCAGCGCTGCGCTGTTTGTTTTATTGTGGTTTTCCCTCATTGTTTATTTTTTTATAGAAATTGTTTTATAATAAATTGTTTTTATTTAACCCAAATCTACCTTTGTATTTATAACACAGCCAATGAACTATGTGAGCCTAGGAGTTTCGAATTGAGTACATAAGTGAGCTCTGAACAATAAACGAGGCTGTTTTGTCTGATGAGCTCTGGATCTTGAATTGTGGATTTTGTCTCCCCACCCACCACAACAGCTGAAGTAGATTGTGTGAGGAATTAATAGAACTGCACATCCTTAATATCTATCTACAGGTTTTAAGTCTGTTTTATCAACCTCTATCACAAATATTTGTACGTTAGTCCACAGGATAGGAAGTCTTCCTAGTTATTGCTGGAAGGAAATGTGCCTGGTGTTGGAGTATGGTACTCAGCAATATTCCAAGTGTCCTTGGTGCCTCCCCCCAGTGGAGAGCTTGAGAGCTACATTCTCATCACCTTTGCCAGATTATAGTGATCTGAATTTTCTTTGAGCATGAGCTTGGGAGTACTAACATGTGTTATTGTCCATTTAACATCAGCTGCAGTTGAAGATATTTTATCCTGTTGGAGAACTCTGAAATACACACTCTGGTACATGCTGTAAGCTAGGCAATGTTACCTAGAGATGAGTGTTAGGTAGGAGGGGGAGCTCTCTTCATGCCTTCCCTGTTTGTAACTGATCTGGACTCCATGGATTTAGCTCTTAAATCTTTATATATCTTATATATCCTGTGGGCCAGTAAGTACAACTGCTCAAAGATTTTATTCCTCAGCCTTGTCAGACTAAACTACTCGAATACATGATATCAATATAATTTATTAACAGATGTATAAATGTTACAGATTTACACATTTTCTGAAATAGACTGCTTCCATCCTCACAAACCTTAGCACTTTTTTGTCTCCAAAGCAGCACAGGTGTGAAGCAACACCAATATTATGTGGGCAACTTTACTGTCTCGAGCAAAACAACAGTAATAATAGTTCTTGTGGAAGTTATCTTTTGAACAGCTGATTAACAAAATAATCAGGTTATTGTTTCTACTTTCTTCTTTTATGGTTGTGATATTTGTCTTCATCCCTGAAACAGAAACATAAACATTATGTGGGCTGTTAGGCTCAGAGTGACAGAGTCCAAAGAGAAAAAACAACTTGGAAAATGGAAAGCTTTCATTAAATGTAGTCATGTCCTCTAAGGAAAGAAAGTAAACTACTTTTACACAGTTTATTTTCCATGCTGCTTTAATCAAGCATTGCCATGCAGTGCCAAAGTGGCAATTAGTTTAGGATGAATGGCATCACAGTGTAACACAGCTTTGAGACAAGCCATCACTGCTATCCACGCAGTTACATAATGCATTTACCCAAACATGAAGGGCAAGGCAGCATTTCTTCTGCACAAGAGTCCTCATGTCTGCTCAAACACAGGTCCCACACACCTGTGGTCCTGCAGATGCAAATATATCCTTGTTGATGGTACTAGAAGGTGTGGCCTAGCTTTGTTTTCTTTTGCTAAACTGTGTGTCCAGAAGTACAGAAGAGCAACAGCATTGTTTTGAGGCATCTAATACAGAATGGCTAGTGTATGCATACTAGTGAAATAAATAATACTATTTATTAAGGTCTAGAGCAAACTAGAGCAGAAACCAGCATTAGATATGACAGGCACTTAGTTGTGGATAAGAAACATACTGTCCATTTAAACCATTTAACAAGGACAAAAATCAATAACCTGTTACAGTACTGTTGCAGTCCTATAGGGTGCTGCGGAAACTATCAGCTTTCAGATGTGAAAGTAAATTCTGAAGTCTGGATCACAATTTATTATCTCACAGAATGTTTTGTTTAGTATTAGAAGCCTCATGCCATTGGCTTGTCATACTGCACAAAGCTTTTTAATTGGACTACATATCCTCAACTTCTGCACTAAATTCTCATAGCAAATGGCTACAGCTGCCTGATTCAGAAGCAGGAGTCAGCTGTCATTGTTTCTGCTCACCTCTCTCTTTTTCTCCAAGAATCTCTGTCTTTGCCTCTCTCACGACTCCTTCTTCGTTTACTTGGACTCCTGCTGGTGTCTCTCCTGTGTCTCGAGCACTCCGTATCCCTACTGCTTCCCCCAGACTGCCGCGAGTCCACTGAAGCTGACCGCCTGTCTTCCCTTATGAAAATAAACTTAAGTGATTTTAATCAATAAAAATAATTTCACAGTCACTTTTTCCAGTACTAGTTTTATAATATAATGATTTACTGTTGATATAAGACAGACGACATATCTTTTATTAAGCCTCTCTAAGAAATACAATACCTCCGAAAAGAGGCTCTAAGTTCATGCGCATATCACAGCACACTATTTAATCCAATTATTTCCTATAAACACTGCTCCTCAGTCTTAACACCTCTGCTTGTGAAACAGGAGGCAGTAGAACAGACTTGCTCTGTTTTGCTTTAAATCTTTAACTCTTCATAACCACCTGCTTTAAGCTGCAAACTACAGCTGGAGTACCTAACTCCTAATCTGACAGAATCATAAAATTGTCAGGGTTGGAAGGGACCTCTGGAAATATTCTACACCACTGCCCTTGCCAAGGCAGGGTCACCTACAGCAGGTTACACAGGAACGTATCCAGTGGGTTTTGAATGTCTCTAGACAGGGAAACTCCAGGACCTCCCTAGGCAGACTCTTCAAGTGCTCTGCCACCCATTCATCTTCAATTTAATGCTGGGAACAAAGTGTCACTTTCTAGTGTGTTTCAAATACATTGTCCTCTCAAAGACCTGCTGAAGAGGCACAGATAGGTAATCACTAGCTCATGACTCCACCTTACTTCAGTGACAAACGTTTGGAAGGGTGTGCAGTGTTGCTTGACACAGCAGAAATATGTACAGCTAAAACACACTCCCAATTAGCAGAGCAGCATTTGCAGGGATAAGAACTGTAAAGCTTCCCCATATTTATTATGTTATGGAAACCTTTACTCTGAGGTGTAATATATCATGTCATGAGGTAGGGAAGGGTAAGAAATTGTGTATTTGTATTTCCAAGTGTCCTGCACCCAACTACTACATATATACACTTCTGGGTACAGAGGGAGCACTATGCATCCCCCAGCTCCACCAGAAACTCCCTGTTAGCTCAATCACTTGTTACTTACCTCTGAAAGAAAGATCCTTATTAATTTTTCTCCATCCTCCATGCAGGCAGAGCTTCTCAAGCACGACTTAACAGAATTAGTATAAAATAAACCATGTATATGACTCAGATAAGGTTGGTATGTGCTATTAGAAGAAGGTGGTAAGATCAAATTACAGTCTGCTGCAAGCCTGAAGAAGCTGTCAGCTGTGGCATACCTTCCTGAGGACTTCAACTTCTCTCCTTCACATATCTCTGCATTATGCAACCTGTTCTCCTGCCACTGATTGCCGAGTTCTTCCATATGCACACCAATCACATCCCGAATCACCTGGATATTAAGGTATGTTGAAAACAGACATTTCATGGTCGTGCCTGAAGTAGCACAAGACAAACTGTAAACATCTCAAAAAAACCCAAACCCCACAAAAAAATCTCCCCCAAACTCTGTATATCAGATGTCTGAATTGAAAGTCTTATTTAGAGGAAAATGTTTCAACATGAATTTAAATAGCACCATTTTATGATAGTGAGCTATATTTTGCTGGCATTTTCACATTCAGAAGTTAGCAGTTAGAAATGCTCGTTATTTGTAACTTGCTGCAACAAACCAAAAACCTTCCTCTACAGTTTGCAACAGTAATAAAGCAGGATAAAAGAAGCAGAGAAAGACAAATATTATTTGTCTTTGAAAGAGTATATACTTGTTTATGCTGACATATAATAAGCAATTTTGTGCAAAAAAGCCTTTTTTTTTAATCTCACCTCGGTGTAGGACTTCTTCGTTATATGAACATTCTTAGCTCTGTATGACTGCCGCCGCCTTTTGTAATCTCGCATTTCAGCCAAAATTTCAAGATGGGACTTCGGACCTTTCTGACTATCATCTAGCAAAAAAATGGGGAGTAAAACAAATAGTCATTGGAAGAACATTTCCACCTGCAGGTATGCAGGCTTCATACGTTCAGGAACATAAAATAATCATGTTCTATCTCAAGTTCCTCCTGTATTTAATAACTATGGTGAATCTATCTCAAGCTTCCTCCCCAATCTTTTTGCTGGCTGTTTACGCACAAGTTAAAAGCCACCAAGCAAACACTGTTATGTGATCTCAGTCTCCAGACTGTGATCCAAACCAATATACGGGCTTGTGATTTGCTAGAACACCTTCTAAATATGGGTCACGTTTTCAAAGTCAGTATTACAGTAAGACACAAAATGAGAAAGCCACATTCTGTAAAAAATTTAGCTGTGTAGATGACAAGCACTGTCACACCTCCTAAGCACAGCACGGCCTGCAGGGTGACACAGATGCTTTTGCTGCACTTGGTAGTTATAAACTGGCATGACTCAAGAGGGATGAAAGGTCCCAGACTAACACCAAAGTACATTGCTCAAGAGCTCCACTTAGATGACTGCAAACCTCTCCTGTTCAGCTTTTAAGCTATCTTTAATCTCATCATGTCTCACAGCAAATAACTGTTCCAAGCTGCACAGCACATTGGCAACATTAGGAAACCTGGAATCAGCTGTAGCAAAGACAAAAGATCCATCCACTGAGATACACACAATATGTGTGAGCAGAGCACTGAAGCTTTCCCAGAAGAAAAACATCATGAAAGGACACCAAACTAGCATTTTGTGATGCCAGGTCTTTGCTGCAGCTTTTAAGAACAGTATGCTCTCCACTAAAAACAAAAAAACAAAACAAAACAAAACCCACAACAAACAAACAAACAAAAAAGGGTAGCAATGTATCTGAACAACTTGGGCCATAATGTGCTCCAGCCAAACCGTCTGTAGAATTTCTTATCAGACCCTCTTGTCGAGATTGCTGAAACATAAATTGCTCTAAAATAAGAATGAAAAAGCTGAAAAACAGCAAAACAGCAAAACAAGAACCAGATAACAGGAAGCCGTCAAACACCTAGACTGTGACCAATCACATATCTTGAGAAGTGCGTGCTGAACATGTGGACAAAATAAAGGCACCAATCAAGAAATGTGTGATCAGCATGTGCAGTAGTTTTAGAATCTATAAATAAGTGCATAATGTAAATAATAAACAGCTTCTGTGTAATCATATTAGTTTGTTGTTCAGAGGTCCTGAGCTCCTGCAAATAGCATAACCAATTCTGTTCGGCTTTCAACAAAACTCATGTAACTGGACAAACTGAAAGTTCTGAGACATAAATTCAACAACAGATCAATCATTCTTCAAACCTTGGGTGATTTTTGCTGCTAAATCCACGAAGAGATCACTATCATTTTCCGTTATCTGGGATCTAGACCTCTGTTTCTTTGTTTCCTCAACAACATAATCATAAAGAGCAAGACGGTCAGCTTGGGTCAGGTCACAGATGAAATGCTTGTGGTTTTGAGGAACTTCTACAGGCAGTAATGAATAAGATCCTGGAGGTTGGACAGAGAGCTGTTACTTGTAAAGTAGCATAATTATGCAGGAAAATATGAAGCAGCTCAACAAACAAACAATGCAGTAAATAAACTTCCAGACTGTTTTCATCTTTCCCCTGCATCTGTAAGAAGTTTCAACCTTCTTAATTTGAAAAGATAAAAACTGCTCAAAGATCCCTCCCAAGCCCCATGCAGGCTGTATAACCTTCCTTACTGCTTACACAGATAGTTTTCATGTGCCATGAAGGAATTGTACTAGATTAGATCAAAATGACACTCTGTAATTTCCCATGAGTTTCAGCTCTTGGCTTACAAACTAAATCAGGAAAGGCTGCAACTCTAACTTGTGGGTTTATTTTTCTCCCAAAATGTCAGGTAAAGTACTAGCTGCAAAATACTTGTTTCTGCCAACAAGAATGAAAGTTTCTAGGAGACTAGATAACCCAGCACTGTGTAAACCAGTCTCACTCACACTGTCACCATCTCTAAAGAGGTTTTATAATAGACTGACACAGGAATTTATAGCTAAAAGGACTACAAAGGCACTTTCAAAGTGCTCCAGGTCAGCTCAGATAACTGACTTAAAGTTATGGAAACATATGCACTGCCTGCACACTCATTTTTTCAATTCCCCAGTTAACACATATGCTTCCAAACAAATCAGTCCATTCTCACTCAATCCATTGCAACAGCAGTTAAGTGACTTCCCCGAAGATACAAGATGCAATACTCTAGGACATTGCCAGCAAAAAAACATTTCAGTCAAAAACTTTCAATTTTCCAGCAACCATTGATCTCACCTCCATAATCCTGCTCCCCCCAGCACAATCCCACACATGTTCAGGCAGACAGAAGAGCCAACACATAAAAAGGGTGTATGCAACACCCTCCTCAACAGCAAACCTAGAGCTCCTCCAGATTATTCAGCTCTTAATGGAAGCTGAGAAATCTTTCACATCCTACTATCACTAAAGACACCAAAGAAGAGGAAGAGAAACCATAATAACTGTAAACAAACCTAAAGTGCAAGATTTCATCCTTACTGTACTTGGAACCTAAGTCAGAACTGTTCTAACATGAACAAATGGATTTAAACACAAAAACTAGAAGTTTTTCTTTAAAATGTACTGTTCTTACAGCATCACAGAAGTCCATAAAAATGCACTGATAATTACATGCTTGTGATTTTACAAGAATTACACAACTTGTGGGTATGATTAGTTTTCCTTTTCAACAATGTAGCTATGCTAATGTTCTAAATATGTCTAGAATTGGAAAAAAAAAGAAAACAAAGAATATCACTTCCTTTGAGACAGTGAGTCAAAAGGAAATTTACAATGAAAAATTAATTTTCATTTGTTTCTGTTGCCAAAGACTAAATTGAACAAATAAGTCAGTAAATCTTAAAACGGGTCAAGTTGCCACAATGAAAACCACTGATCCAGTTTTAGTGTTATTCTCAGAGAAATGTAAGCTTGTGGGGAAATCTGGGCAGTGAACACTGGCATCTAGTGGCTCACTGGTGCACCTTTGCAATGAATCCCTCCACAAAGGGTTTATCTGCTGCTTCTCTACTTGGATGTGCTTGTGTCAAATTAATGAGTTCCCACTTCCCTTCAGAGGAAATGCACCTGACATGCTCAAAACACCGTGCTCATCCCAGGAAATCTCCTTTCCAAGCAATTCTCCATTAAGCCTCTATTTGCTATGCCACAGAGACAAAGAAAACATAAAAAAACTGTCTGAGCAAGTGCTGCTGTATTTCAGTGTCAGAAAACTTTCAGTGTCACTTCTGTTCATATATGTTTAACAAAACAGTCTACAGAGAGCATGTTCTTTCATGTGTTGTAGTAATTTCTTAGCCATACACTAAAGCTCTACAGATTCCGCAGGGAGGTCTATTTTTCTGCTTTGTCTAAGTCTGAACTCTCAAAGACTCCGTCCTAGCCTGGTCCCCTGGCTGGTTACAAAACCCACCAAAAAAGGAAACGTAAAGGAATTTGTGGGCTTGAAGCAGTGACAAAGGACAACATCACATTTGCAAATATGCCAGCATAGTTCTTACACAACTTCTTAGTTCAGTCTTGAAACAGTCCAACATAGTAACACACATGTTGTTTGGTTTTTTTGGTCCTGAAGATATAGAGGTTTGAGCACAACAGACTCAGAGTCTCTCATCTAGTTGCCCCAAGTATAGAAAGTAATCATGCTCCAACATATGCAGGGGAAGGAATATTAAAATTAAATGAAATTAAATTTCTCACAGCAGTTCTCAGTGGAATGAAGGAAGGAGGGAGACAAGAGCAGCTGTCCACAGGAGGCTAGTGAAGTCACGACACTATTTGCTTGCTCCTTACCTTCGCTGTAGCCTGCACCTTCCTTTGCACTTTGGGCTCTAGCCTGCTTAACAATGTGAAACTGTAGATCTTTATCTGCAGGCAAAGAAGAAAATAAAATCATACAACTTTTACATCAAGTTCTCAGGTACCTGGCTGAATTAGTCTTTATTCACTAACCTCTATTATGAGACTTACAGCACGGTACAGAACATCATGGTTTCATTCATGTACAAGGGGACATTCGAACTTAAAATGCAATTTTCATCTATTATATATTTGAAATGAGGGGAGAAAATTAAGGGGAAAAAAAATGTATTTCTGGGTTACAAAGATATGAAAAAAGAAATGTATGTATATTGCTCTCTGTACCATAGCTTTATCTCCAAATTCTACAGTTTCCCCACCTTCTAAGCATGCATTTTAATACACTTTCTGCATTTGATGCAAGAGTGGGGACTGAGAACATAGGAAGAAACTCCTAAGATAAAAAAAAACGGATCCTCCTTGGATTTTAAGATGAAAACATATGTGACCTACAGAGTAGCATTACACAGTGGCAGAAGCATAAAAACGGTAAATTAAGGCAAATTACAAATTACAATTTGAGAAAACTAACACTCAAGATTTTTAGGAGGTCTTGGGAAGTTTACAGCTGCCAAGGCAGTGGGGTTGTGGTACCGTGAGGACCCGGACTGCTTAGTCCAACAGGTTTGCCCCCACCCCCACCCAGGATCTCCCCCCAGCCCCTCATCCTCTACACCTCCCTCAGCCCCAGCCCTATGTGCCGCCCCGTCAGGCGGAGCACCCGCTGCCACTCACCCATGGCGACAGTAGGAACCTTCAGGTTTTCGTAGAAAAAGCTGGAGTCATACATCTCGGCCTGCGGGACCAAAGGGTTCGGTCAAGGCCCGCGGCCGTCAAGCGGCGCCCAGAGCAGCAGCGCCTGCCCCGCTTCCCGAGCCGCGCTCCCACCTCCTCCTCGGCGGAGTATCCCATCCTGCGGAGTCGGCAGGACGCCGCGTGCCTCTCCAGGGACGCGCGTGGGACACGGTGATGGACGTCGTAGGGGCACAGCACCCACTCCACCTGCGAGAGGACACGGATTGGATCGGATCGGATCGGATCGGATCGGATCGGATCGGATCGGATCAGCCCCACCGCCCTACCCCGCGCAGGTCCCGCCGCCTCACCGGGTCCCCGCCGAGCCACACGGCGCTGGGCGCCGCCATAGCTGCGCTGGACGGCCCCGTGACTGCGGAGGGGTGGGGCCGCTGCCACGTTCGCTGAGAACGCTCCCGCCTCAGAGGGGGCGGCTGCGAGCCCTGCCGGGTATGCTGAGGGTCTGAGTCAACCTTTGGCTTTTGTGTTTTCAGACGAGTAGCAGGTAGCTGGGCAGTTACGATTAACCAGTTGCATTGTGACCATCGGATGCTTAATTAGAATTTCAAGGAATAGGGGAGACAATCCCAAATTGGATGTGCTGTCCGGACGAGAGCCACCAGGAGCGAAGTCAGCTGGGCTGAGCAGTAACTGGAGAATGGTAATACCGGCAGTGGGCGATCGCGTCCAGAACGGACTCCAGGCTCAAATGGAGGGAAGGACCGCGCCCGCGGGCTGATTAACATGAGCAGCTAGAGATACAGCCAGCAAATGGGGGTTGACTAGTAATTAACGCAAAAGTTACGTAATTTGCAACCTATGAATGCTGATGCCCTTGTTTGTTGAAATGTGTAAATAGGGTGAAGTTTCGGTAAGGCTCTGTAAGGCAGCCTTGTGCGGGTCACCCTCACTTGACTGCCCGGCGCGAACGGGAATGCCGGGGTGCCTGAGCGGCGCGGGCGCCGCCTGCCGGCGGGAGGCCGCGGGGACATGCCCGCCGCACCCGGGACGGGCCGCGCCCTGCCCCGAGGGACAGCGGGCTTTCCCTGCACATTGGCGTGAATGCTCGCCAGGCTTACCGTGGGTTGCTCTCCTGGGTGCAGGGTGTGCCTGCCTGGGCGCCCCAGAGCGTCCAAAGCGCTCCCCCTGATCGTGGCGGGGCAGAAGGAGCATCAGCCGCCCCGTCGCCATCGAGACGCTGAGGCACGATTCCCTTTTGCAACACGAGGAATGCGGTGCGAGATGATAGCAGTCCCTCCAGCAGGCTTCTGCCGCAGGATCCCTAAGGAGCATGATATGGGGAGCAGAACCACGATGGGTTTCTCCCCTCGTGGAGCACAGAGGTCTTATCTGTGGAGGGGGCTGTACATGGCTGTACAGGGATACCCCAATAGTCCAGTCCAGTACTTGGCCTTAATTTTGAGAGCATTTCCCTAGGGGGCTGAGGGAGCAATAGAGCTCAATTAGACTCTAAGGCAGGATGAGGAAAGAAGGACTATCCTAAGGGAGAGATTTCACATGACTGAGATTTGTGCTTGCCTATTTCTGTCGTCTCTGAAAAGTACACGACTGGATGGGTCTATCAAGGCAGGGTGGGGGAGAGGCAGCATGACAGATGCAGCTGCCAGAATGACTTTTGTACATCTGCTTTTCTATAGCAGATTACAGCCCTTTCCTGCACAGTGAATTTGAGACTTAGCTGGGATTTTAGCCTTTTGAGAGATTTGGTGTCTCTAGGTACATTTGCCTGGGGATCTTTGGCATCACATGATATAGAATACTTGTTGGGAAGAATTCCCAGCTACCCTTGCATTTTCCTCTATGCTGTACTGAAACACACTCAGTAGCATTAGCACTTTTTATCAAAAGAGTTTTAAGAAAAGCTCTGCAAAACTGCTTTGACCATCTCCACTGGAAAAAAAAAATTCTTCAAAGTTATGAAAGTCAAGTTTGACAAAGTATCCAAGCAGATTTTTTTTTAAGATTAAAGATTAAACAAAAATTTTATTTTGTTTACTTATAAATTAAATGGGTAAGAACTAGGATAGATGTTTTGTTCTGCTAAACAACAACATTTTGAATGATTCAGAATTGTCTTATGCATTTCTTTTCCTCTCAATAACTGGTTCCTGTGGCTACAGGCTTTCCAGGAGAAAACTGACTGGATGGGACAAAAAGATCATCAGTTTACAAAAGTTTATAGCACCACTTTTCCTTCCAGGTGAAATCACACTTAGATAGGCTTCCCATCAAACAAAGAGGGGGACTGTCAGACTCTTTCAGCTAAAACTCTTTCCCAGCTGTTGTCTCCAGTCTGTGGCACACCCTCTTTTCCTGCATCCAGCACTGTGCTGCTGCTGTCCAGCAGTGTCATGACTTTGTCATCAAACATTGTGGTTAATAATGTAAATTTAACACACTCAGTCTTCTTATGGTCCCTTCTGAGAAGGAGAGAGGAAACTCCACGGCTGCATTTCCCCAGGAGGGAGTGCTGCCTGGCTGCAGCATCCTGCAACAGGTATACTTGAGTATGGTCTAGCACCTTTGCAGAGCTGCAATTCATGCCAAGTAGTGTGGTGCTTTTGTAGATGCTATTTTTGGACAATGTTGATCTGTTGAGAAGGTCTCTGGAAATCAGCCCCAAATAACCTTAGGACAGTGCAGCAGATCTGTCCTAAACTGTGGGACAAGCAGAAGGTACAACAGGGAATTGGTGTACACATGGAGCCAACATAAAGACCATACAGCACTTCTGGAGAACTCTTTAAATGTACCACTTTGTGTCTTCTTCCAGATGGAATTTATATTGCTAGATATCCCAGCTGTTGGCACATCAGGAACCACCAAGTTTAGGACCATACCCTGGGGCACAAAGCTTAATCTAGGTAGAATGATCCCAACCCAACAAAGTACCTCCATTTGGTACCTCCAACAGGTTGAAACCACACTGAAATTACACTGCTCTTAAGGTCCAAACCTTTCTAATGGGTGTGCAAGAGGAGTGGGAGGCTCATCCTGAGCAACAAACCCCTTCCCCACACAGCTGACTGAGGAAGGAGTATCCCATGGCTTGTGTTAGTTTTTTCCTCCACTACTAAAAAAATGTTGCAGACTTTCTGCAGCCAAATACTTATTTAGAAGTATACTGAATTTTTCTCTAACATTAAAGACATTTTTCATATTTAGCACTCTTTCTATTCCCTAGATTCAAAGCACTACTTACAGTTTTATTGTGTTAAATTGTGCTATTGGTAAATTGTGTTACTGCTGGAAACAAGGGAGAAAAAGTGAAAGCTCAATTTATTAATTTTTAAAGCATGCTCTGGGTAAAGAGAAATAAAATAAGCTTTGCAACGGTTTTCTCTATCCTTACCACATTCAACATGCACATTTCTGTGTGGGAAAAGGGCCATGGAGCAAGGCAAAACAAGCTGTAGAACGAATAGAAACCTCTTGAGACTACCCAAAAGCCAAAATGGAAGCAGCCTGACTTATGTCCTCAGCCCATGCAGGCCTGGGAGATGGAAAAGACAGCTTTTGACCTCCAACTGTGAGAGATTTTTGCTGTTTCTGATGCCTTAAGAGGATACCTGGAACAGATGCTGGACAGAGTTACAGGGATAAAGTAGGTATTTATTAAAAGGCCTTTAAAGGATACACCTTGGGCAGTACAAGAGCCTGGCCTTGGCTACACCCAAGATGAACCCAAGATGGGTGACCAGTCATGAGTTTTCACAGTATTACAAGTTTTGGTCTATTTACATATTGGGGTTAATGGTCCAATTACAGCTTCAGGTTATGAAGTCCCATCCTCCCAGTTTGTTGTCCTCAGTTTGCTGTTGTTTATACTTTTCGGCCTGAAGCTGCAACTGTGTCCTTTGTTCTTGGGCTGGAAAAGGATTGTTTTGTCTAACTAAGCTGTGAAAAGAATTTTCTAACTGTTGGAATCCAAAATAAAAGCCTCTCTGAGCTCCTCAGAGAGAGAAAAGAATTAAAATATATTAAACCACAGATATAGAGTAAAAGTGTAAATTTGAGTTTTAAGTAGGTAAAAATGTAGCTTAAATGCCCTAAGAATCTGTGTTAACTAGTGAAAAGCCTTATTACCCAGTTTAAAGTTCAGTGATAATACCCTTCACAGATTCAACTTAGCTCTAGACATGATGAAAATATAGTTTGCATTCTTGGATAAGAACAGATAGAATTATTCACGTAAACAGATAATACCCTATACGTAAGGTTTAGGTAAAAATAACATTGCTTTCGCATGTTAGAATTAAGTTCAGATTGATGTAGAAAGTATTGTTTTAGAAGTGTGTTTTCAGCTGATTGGATGATTTATTAATTTAATCTCCTGTACTGGGGATTGGAAAAAAACATTCAAAGAAGAAGGACAGCAGCTCCATCATCATCACCAACTGCTTTTGCAGCGCAGGACAACAGAACTCCACGCTGAGAAGCTGCTGCCCTGAACATCAGGACCTTATACCAGAGAGTGCTGCTCAGAACTCAGGACTTTATGCCAAAGCTTTAGTAAGGACTGTAACTTTCTAAACTCTTTGCCTTTGAGTCTAATGCTTTTATACAATAAAAACCTTTCTAGCAACTGCTGGAATCTGAGACACAGAGTGTATGCACTTGTTTCTGATGCTTAACTCTAAGAACCAGAAAAACACTGAATTTCGTACAACATGAAATTCATGAGCATGTTTTCATAGTGATACTTGAAAACAACTGTTAAAGTTAGATAGAAAAAGCTAAAAGTGTGAGTGTAGATTAGAGAGTTTTCTTAAGTCACTGT